TAATATAACTAAGAAGTGGCTGAACCAGGTCCCAAATGTAGGTCTGTCTGACTCCACTTAGCCAGGTTGCTCTCAATAAATATTTACTGCACACCCACTATATACAAGACCGGATGATATAAATTCAAATTCAACTAGAACTGGGGACAGATTCAGTACATAACATGAGGATCACACTCCATAGAAAAAGAATCTGTTCTCAAGTCTAGTACATACCAGAAAGACTCTCTCACCCTTAGAGCTGCTAACTTTTTATAGTGACAACATGAAAATTTAGAGTTATCTAAAACCTTAGAGCTGCCTAGAACAACTGGGAATTAAGGAAAAGGATGAAAAGATGGTGTATGAGAGAGTAGAAGAGGGAATAAAGGCATAATTTGAGCCTTAGTTATATAATTATGCCATTCTTGGTGATCCATGAAGGACCAAAAATGGGATTACTAATTTCCGTATTATCATTAGTACTTCTATAGTTCTGATGGTATCATCTCATCTCATTCCTAATGCAGATATTCCTCTCTTATGGGGATTTTTAACAGGCTGGCATGAGTGCTTATCAAGATCAAATATTTTCAAGGAATACACTATCTTCATTGGAGTGGGAATCCCTAACTGCTGCCCAAACTGCAGTAAGAAATATCCCCCCGAGAATCCTAACCACCAACCATTCTTAAGACCTAACACCACTGGATATTTGCTCAGTGTTTCTTGTACTTCCCCAGGGAGTATTTTTAAAATAAAAAGAATTGAGAAAGTTCTATTGCAGTGACTCTCAACCTTGGCTGCACACTGTAATTACCTGAAAAGCTTTTAAAATTCAGCTTTTGAAAGCACTGATGCCTGGGTTCTTACTCCCAAAGATTCAGATACAACAGGTCTTGAGTGTGACCTATGTAATGATATTTTTAGATTTCCCCCAAGTGAACCAAATGGGTAGCCCAGGCCCCTGTCACCCATACGAGTACTCTCTGGGAAAGTTCATCCTTGCAACACCCAACATTCACTTCAAAGTAGATACCATGCTAGACACAGGGGCACAAAACTAAGTAAGACAAGATCCCTGTCCTAAAGGAGTTTGCTTCCTCATGGAGAGGTCAGATATAAAACAATTGCAATATCTTTAATACACCCTCAGACACTAACCGCACCACCACCCCTCTACTTCGAAGAATTTCATTTGTTAATTGGCAGAGTATTCAGAACATTTGTTCCAATTTTCTCCATAGCAGGGAAATTTTTCTTCAGGACCTCCAGAGTTGTGGTTCTCTAGACTATGCTGCCACTAAAAGCAAACAGGCACTCTCCTTTACAGTCCACTCTAAAGGTGAATGCCCCCTTCCTTCCTGGGGTCAAGGAGGAAAAGAAGAACAGCAAAACTTCCTGTAATAGATACTGTTCTTTAGCTACCATAGACATACTCCCACCCACCGTCACCGTTTCTTCCCTCTGTGCAAGGAGAATATCAATTTTATATTCAGTCAGATAGGGAAGGTGGGCTTCCCCTAAAGTTCAGGAATTGATCAGGATCAACTGGAAACAGTTACGGCAATGCCTTTCCACTTTGCCAGGTACATTCTTTCCCAGCCCCCTTTGCCATTAAAGGCGCCATAAAACACAATTTCGGCCAATAAAGTAAAAGGAGAAGTTTGAAAATGAGCTTCAGGGAACATTTCTCCATGATAGGAGAAAGCTTCTGGCCCTTTTTTTTTCTTTTTCCTGTATTCAAACAGATTTAATGCCTGATGCTGGAACAGATATCTCGAGACCATGAAGCAACAAGCACAGCACACGAAGGCAACCTGCTGAGAACCAGTAGTCAGAAAGAGCAAAGGAGCCTAAGTCCTGTATGACCTTATTGAGCCCGTGCTCCAGCCTTTGACAGACTTCATTCAGACTTTTTACCCTATGCAAAAAGTTAAACCCTATTTGTTTAAGTTATTCTCGGTCAGGTTTTCTGCTACTGTCAACATCATAACTAATATACAGCCCTTCCTCTCTGCTACTTTGTCCACTTGGCCTCCAGAAGACTAACATATTAGATGGCAATATAATGATGAAGTTATTTTGGAGGGAAGTTCATAAGAGAAATATAGTGTGAGATGGACAAAGGTAACATTCTGGCTAATCTGGACTCTTCCATGCACCATTTAAGCAAAGCATCTCCAGACTTTGGTCTTCATCCTTCACAGTAAAAGTGACCACCTCAAAGCTTCCTCTGCTTTGGATCAGACCCATTGACCTCCAGTTCACAGCTGTGCTGTGGGGGTTTTCACTATCAAACTAGGGATCCACATTTCCCAAGATCTCCTTCCCTGGATGGTCTGAGGTAGGCTGGCCAAAAGAAGAATTTGCATGAGATTTGAAAGACAGAAGTAAAGCAGTGACCATTATTCTCTGGAGTTCATTGTTGATAGACATAGAGATGAACAGATGCAGAAATAACCGGTAGGTTTCATTTCATCCTTAATTTTCTCTGTTCTGCATCCAACTCTTCTTCCCAAATGCTGACCTTGTTGACCCCAGGCCCACCACAGGCAGTAACCATATAGAGGCAAGAACTTGCCACAGATCTTTCCATGTGCTTCGCCTTTGCAGCCCCATTTTAATGGCTGGACATGCCTAGCTCCTCAGATGGACTGTTAGTACAGCCATTATGGAAAATGATATGGAGGTTTCTCAAAAAGTCCTATATTTTCTGATCCTGCAACTCCTCTTTCAGATTGTCACTTTCCCAGCACCTCAACTGTATAAGACCTAATTCCTATAATAAATGCCTTATCTCATAACACTCATGTATACTCTGTTCCCTGACTGATGCACCTTCTCACCCACTCTCTTCCCTCCTATACTCCACTCCATGGGTGAAAAGACCCTATTCTCAATTTCTTCCTCAGATCAGATGGCAAGCAGTGATGTTTTCCCCACCCTATTACAGTTTATTAACCAGAGTCAACATGTGTCCCCCAATTCTAGCTCCAGCTTTCCTCCTGCGATAGTGACAAGCCTGCTGATTCTTTTACTAGGAGACCAATTAAATAAGCACTTTTCTCAGTGACAAACATTAGCTTTCCTTGGAAACAAATAACATGTTTCTCCATGTAGAAGAAACAAATCTTTCTCCATGTAGAAGAAAGAACATTTCCCCAGTAACGGGGCTCTGTCTTGCCATGGACAAATAATGGGCAACCCGTTTTAGCTCAGAAACACTGGGGTTTCATTCAACTGGGCAGAGACCAGACAGCTACACAAGAGAATCACACAGCGACACATGAGAATCGCACAGCTACACGTGAGAATCGCACAGTGGCATCATGTTTCCCTGGTAATGGCCCCCGCTCAGGTCGTACCATCTTGAGCTATGTCTCTCTTTGATGAAAAGGTTAGGGAATGGGGGTGTTATCTGGCAATTCCTCCCACCAGAGAGTGTGAAGTAAGAGCTATGAAAACACTAAGTATGAAGTGATAAATGTAGCTGGAGAGCATAGAGGTTTCCATTTCATCTGGAACCTCTCTTGTTAGAACGGGGGAAATACTTTTCCAAGCTGAGTATCCCTCACTATCTGAATATATTCTATTCCCAGGTCCGCACATTAAGAGCTTGAATAAGAAGGAGATAGAGCATTATCAGAGCCTATCCCGATTCCTCACACTGAAACACTTTAGCACCTCCTTGCAAGGAAAGGGGAGGGAGAAAAGTTTTCACAGCATTTCAGTAAAATATCACCCTTGTTTTATTAGCAATATTTCTAGTCACAGTTTTTAAACACAGAATCCAATGAATCATAACCCATAATCATTTTGATAAAATAGCAAATGTTAACACAGAAATCTCTTTACAACCATTTTTTCTGAGAGAGACAAGAATTGTCATTTCGACCTTTCTTTCTCAGATTTCAAAGCTGCCAAAAAATGAGTACACCTTGACCTCCTAAAATAAAAAATGTCATCAGTAGCACTCTATCACTCCATAGTCTTTTCAAAAGAAGCAGTAATTGCTTAAAAGTTAAGCCTTAAATTTAGGTTTCCTTAAAGACAGGTAGCACTTTAACATGTAAAATAGATCATAAAGTTCAGCTGTAAAATTAACTTTTACCCCAGTGAACTTTTCTTAAGCTGCTGAAATATTGCCATAAAAGGTCAAATCCTTGGTAAACTTCAGAGAGCAAGATTGTTCAAATAATGTTCACGTTGAAACAGGCAAATAAATGTGCTAATCATTCGAGCAGGATGAGACTGGGGTGTGTGGAAGTGGATGATATGCAGCTTGGAAAAGTCTTTAAAATATAGCCAATATGAATTTCAGTCAACAAACTCGCATATGAAATAAAAATCGCTTTTATTTACTATATATCAGTACTTTGGGCGAGCAGAAAATTCAGCCTGGGGCATTCTTGGTGCTCCCACATACCCTCCCAGGGTTAAACCAGGATTCCAGGGTTTGCCTAAAAACAATTCAAATGGAAAACCACTCTGGCCACTGGTCTGCCCAACCAGGTCATGCCTGTGAGCTGGTCTTCCTAGTGTACTTCAAAGCCAACAGCCCTCTACAGCTTCCTTGCCACCAATGGGACGTGAGAGTCTGCTGAGGCTGGAAACCCAGCATTTGGGATGCTGCCCTCCTGCTCACACAAACTCCCCTCGGGAATCTGGCTGTTTCTTCTGGATGCGGCCACAGGCAGTACACCTACATGTAATGTGCACAGATCTCCTTCTCCTTTCAGACCTGGATGGTGCCCACATACACCTCCCAGCTTCCCCAGAACTCTGCCTGTAATCTCAAATCTTGTCATCCTTCTTTTTTAACAAAACCCTTTGGTGGCTGAGTAAACCTATTATCTGAAATAGTCTCCTCCTCCTCCTCCTCCTCCTCCTCCTCCTCCCAGGAACCTTTATTTCCTTACTTGTTTTATTTTTGTTATAGCACTTTTTTGAAATCAAACACTTTTATTTTTAATTGTACTACTCTACCTATATAAACATTTCTCCCTCTACATCTCCCTATACATTTACATAAAAAGTAAACTAGTACCCAGAATAATGAGTACTAGTGATAGATGCTCAACAAAGCATTATTGAATAAGTGTTGAACACAATTTAGCCACCAACTAGTTACACTGTCTTCATGAGCAGAGAGGGTTTTATCATCAAACCCTCCTAGGAAGCAGGTGAAAATATTTGTTTCACATCCATCCAGTACACTGAATAAAAGAAAAAAGAAACAGTTATGTTTCTATGTTTCAACTAGTCTGAATGTTCTTACCTTGCCACATACCTTTTGAAGTTAAATGATCATTATACTGCCTTGGGTCTCCACGAAACACCCACGTTGTCCTGAAGCTAATTTGTGCTAGGACTGATGACTTACAGTTTTCTCCCTGTGCAGTGCAATGAGAGAAACCTGTGAAACGTGAGAGGAAGAAAGAGAAGGGCAGAAAGGACTCCTGATCTTACTGTTTGGGCTCTACTTCTGTTACATTTCAATCATTACATTATATCATGGGGTTCTAGGAAATTGTAGGAAAACCTTTTAATTCAGAACAATGAAAACTAGTCACCTAAACGTAGAAAATGTATAGGAATTAAATAAAACATTGTAACTGGCTAATGAGCAAGAAATTGTTGCGAGGAAGATGTCTGTTAAAAATACAGCCTTGTCAGTTTAGTTTTATCTAACTATAGAAGAAAAGGGCAGAAATCAATTTCACAAAAAAAGCCAGGTGTTACATTTCTTTATCACTGTGCAATTGCACTTATAATGCATTCATAGGACCTATTGACTCAAGTTATTACATTCTAATATAGATTAGCTAAATTGTTGAAACACAGATACACACTCAAAGAGAACATTAATTTTAAAATCCAATTTTATATTACATTTCTTGAGAAGTTTTAGTGTGATTTGAAATCCATCCTGGAAGACTATAGTAGAATATTCTGCCCATTTGTATTTTATGTGAGAAAACCAACAGGTTCACCATTTCTTTCTAACTAAAATTGAATTGTCTGAGAATTGCAATAACTGTCAGCCTTTAAAGAGCTTATCTCACGTCTCAAACTTTAATTGGATTGTTTTCTGAGGCAGCCTTTCCTTTTCGATTTTATAAAGACCATAAATGCTTCTATTATTGTTCTTTTGTTCTCTTCCTTCAGAATTTTGCTCATTTTAATTTTTAGTTACAGTGGCCTAAAATGACCCTATTTTCTCTTCTAACCCAAAATTCAAGTGACTGCAGCTATGGGACCATTTGACATCTTCCAATCTATAATTACATTGATAAGATAAGTAGGAGCTTACTATGGAAGGCAATGAGCGAGTCATTTATAATATTTGCAAGTGATCAAAATCCTAAAGAAGCAATGCAATTTCATTTTACAAATGAATAATTTTTAAGTCATGTGCCTGGAGCTAGTCCAGTTATCAAGAAATCAAACCAGAAAATGACAGAAGACATTATTTTGTCATGCCAAATTTCTAGCTGTAAGTTCTCTAACAAGAGACAGTTCTTGTGTAACAAATAAGGCACTCAACAAAATTTACTACAAACAAAATCTGTATACCAATATAAAAATTTTTTGGCATTAAAAACTAAAATAGAGGCTGGGCATGGTGGTTCATGCCTATAATCCTAATACTTTAGGAGGCTGAGGTAGGAGGATTGCTCAAGCCCAGGAACTGGAGACCAGACTGGGTAATACAATGAGACCCCATCTTGACAAAAAATAAAAAATAAAAAATTAGCCAGGCATGGTGGCACACACCGGTATTCCCAGCTACTTGGGAGGCTGAGGTGGGAGGATCAGTTGAGCCCAGGAGGCAGAGGGTCAGTGAGCTAAGATCATGCAACTGTACTCCAGCCCAGATGACAGAGTGAGACACCGTCTCAAAAAATTAAAAAAAAACTAACTAAAATAGGATTATACTGGAAAAATGTCACCCATAAATACATTACAATATATTGAACTCCTAAGCATGCTTAGCACTATATTAGGCACTATGGTAATACAAACATTTTAAATCTCAGTTTAAAATATCATTATAGCACAAACGTAAAAATAAAGCAAAACGGCAACAAACTCTTTAAAAAATATTTTTTTTAATTAAAATTAAGAAGAGAATCTAGGCAGTACTCCACAGCCTCTTCTAGACACACACATAGCTACAAATATGATTTCAATTTTATATATATATATATACACACACACACACATACACACCACGCACCACCCCACACTGTCATACACATACACACATTAATAGCAGCTATCTCTTGATGGTGGATTAATAATTTTTTTCTTCTTTAGATATTTGAAAAATTTTTACAATGACTAACTGTATATTACCTTGGTAATCAAATACTGAACTACCTTGGTAATCACACATGCATATTTGAAGTCATCTTGACTCCCTAAATGATACCTACTTACTCCAATATATTTATATTTTAAGTACCAAAGGATGCTCTATATATATTGAATAAATACTGAATCAGGGACATGAACATATAACCCTATCATAGCTTCTTAGGAAATATAATCTATGCCCTACTCTATTGTAGTAGTCTGTTTTCACACTGCTGTAAAGATACTATCTAAGACTGGGAAATTTATAAAAGAAAGAGGTTTGATTGACCCACAGTTCTGCATGGCTGGTGAGGCCTCAGGAACCTTACAATCATGGCAGAAGGCAAAGGGAAAGCAAGGCACCTTCTTCATAAGGCTGCAGGAGAGACAGAAGCAACAGTGCAGGACAACTGTCCTTTAGAAAACCATCAGATCTCATGAGACTTATTCACTATCACGAGAATACCATGAGAAAATTGCCCCCATGATCCAATGATCTCCCACCACGTTCCTCCCTCGACATGTGGGGATTATGGAAATTACAATTCAAGATGAGATTTGGCTGGGGACATAGATCCAAATCATACCATCTGTTTATCGTTCTCAAAAGAATCAGAACTTCCCCTCCCAATCTCTCATCCCCTCCTCCACACATGCACCAGAATCATGGCATATAAGCTCTCCACTTCTTTCTTACGTGTCACAGAGAATTTTGGAAGACAATATCTGAGTCTGAAAGTCTTTATTAGACATTTTTAGGTAGGATACCGTTGAGATCCCTTCAAATTTCACTATGTGAGACTACATCAACCAATGAAGGGCCAGATTAGGCTCTTTAGAGGCCTAAACACTGACAAGGTTAAACCCTTCATATGGCATTTTTCAAAGTGACACAAAAAAATCACATACATATTAAAATTAAAATAGCCTCTGTCTAACTGTTCTACCTTCAAAGTTCAGGTTTAGAATTCTCTTTTCAGTAGTGGAGGCAGGTGGTTCTTTGCTGGTCTCCTAAGCTTGCCAATAATCCATTCAGTGCCTACTCCAGCCATGCACCTAGACAAGAGACAACTCTGCTCACCTTCTCAGTTCTGCAGTAAATCTTTGATTGCAGATTAGGGAATTGAATTGCCAGCACATATTCTATTTGTATAAATTTTCCACTTCACAAAGTCAAGAAGTTTCCAAATTAGCGATAAGAACATAATTTCTAAACTGCTGCTTTCTGTCTTTTGAATTTATTTCTTTTTCTTCCTGTCTGAAGCACACAAAGCCATACCTCCAAGATCAGATATCAGTTCACATATAACTCCTCTCATTTCCATCTCTTACAAAACCATTCTTCTCATCACAAAACAAGCTAACCGAAAGACTAATTTGAGTACAGTTGGAATAATTTATTCCTATCTAGCTTTATAAACACATAAGTAATGAAAATTCAAATATGTAAGCATGTATACATTTTAGACATTTTAAGATTTGACTTTGAATTAAGAAAGATGCTATCAAAAGAGAGCTTGTGTATTGCAGGAAGCAGTTTGGTCAATACTCAAGCTCTACAGAATGAAAATGAAGACTGAATCCAGCTAAGTAATCAATTATCAACAGCCAGAGGTGGGTTTGTGTTTTGCTCATAGTTTAAGTGTTAGCAATTATAAATTCACAAGTGTCACTGGCATCTAAAGTGAAGAAGAGAGCTTTCAATGCTACTATTTAAGCTTAGTTGACAATAAAGAAAAAGGGAAAAGAAGCTTTGTTTGTAATCTGAAAAATCACACATGCACAAAAGAATACATTTCTACCACTACTCTTGTATTTTTTTTTTTTTTTTTAGTAGAGACAGGGTTTCACCGTGTTAGCCAGGATGGTCTCAATCGCCTGACCTCGTGATCCGCCCATCTCGGCCTCCCAAAGTGCTGGGATTACAGGCTTGAGCCACCGCGCCCGGCCTCTACCACTACTCTTCCACAGTAGCAGTAACCAAAGAATTTAGAACCAAATGATTCAGAAATTTAAGAGTCCATTAAATAGAGGGAAGAATTAGATCTCCAGTGCACTGGCTTCCTTTTCATTTAAAGTGGATGTTTGTTACGTGTTCTATTTAATACGAAGCGACTAAGACCCACTAATGCTTCAGGTCATCCAGGGAGCGTCCCCAGCTGACACTCTCATTGTCACCTTAGCAATGAGGCAGGACTGCCAGGCAATTTCTACTTTATAGCTCTAAGAGATCTCTAAGCTGTACCTCCAAAATGAACTGATAGGTAAATTACCTCCAACCCAATCCTCTTTTATCACCGAATGCATTTCAAAATATAGTACAGGCTTTTTTTTTTTCATTTAATCAAACAAAAATACTTGCAGAAACATGTTAGTATACAATGTAAATGTTACCTTATTAATGTGTAATTGTGATAGTCCAGCCTTTCATGCATATGTTAATACTGCTGCTATCAGATTGAGTCCATAAAGAGGCTGATTTTATATGTGGGTAAAAATCCAGAGTCACCACCTTGTACAAAGTTAGGTGTATGCTAAACAGCTCAGCCTTTCAAAATTACTCCTCTTGCCATGAGGGTTGGAAATTTCCAACATTTAAAACTCACTGATTCTAGGAACCTCTTTGGAATACCTTTGGATGCTATTATAATTAGTTAACAATGAATTCACAAGAATTACTAATTAAACAATACAAAGTCAGTCATTTATAAAAATAATGTCCCATGCAGAATAAAAGTTCTAAAATTTTCGATTTGATTATGTAATTAAACCATAACAGACTATATCTTAGCAGGTTACTGCTATGGTTTGAATGTTTGTGTCCCCTCCAAATTTATGTGGAAACTTAATCCCCAATGCAACAATATTAAGAGGTGAGGCCTTTAGAAGGTGATTAGGCCATGAGGGCTCTGCCCTCTGGATTTCTGCATTGTGAAAGGGCTTGAGGGACTGAGTTTACCCCTTTCATCAAGTGAGGCAGAGGCTGCACAACTGGTTCACAGCCCCTTTTTTCTGGCCCTGGCTGCTGGCATCC